AAAAGAGCTTGTACAGCTCTTGTATTATAACAGTACACACACAACATCGTTGTTGTTACTTACTATAGTCAAGTTTTCCATTAGATAAGGTTGGATGTTTCTATAACATGATGTGTTAGGTATTCTTTGATCATAGTCAATCAATTTGACAATATGAAATGAAGGAATGAAAAATCCATTTTTTTTTCTCTTTAGCTAACTAGTAACAGGATAATATTTTAAGGAGATAAAATTGTAAGGCCGTTTGTAGACATTGATTTTTTTACAGGACAACGGACCGCCGTCAAGAAACGGATATCCTTTGTTTGCTGTCAATTTTCTCGCCGGACCTATGTCCGATGCATGTGCACACGTTTATTACATTTAATACATTTTTTATTTATTTATTTATTTATTATAAACCATACGCCACCGCTAAATCCGGTGAAAAAATCGGGCCGTTGTCCGGTCAAAAAAACGGACGTCTACAAGCGGCCTAACTGTCTATATTTATTGTCCGTGGTACATATCTTTTCTTAGTAGCTTTCCGCTCGCGGCTTCGCCCGCGTGGAATTTTGTCTGTCACAGAAAAACTTTATCGCGCGCGTCCCTATTTCAAAACCGAGATAAAAACTATCCTATGTCCTTTCCCGGGACTCAAGCTATCTCTATGCCAAATTTCATCAAAATCGGTTGAGTGGTTTAGGCGTGAAAGCAAGACAGACAGATATACAGACAAACAGACAGACAGAGTTACTTTCGCATTTATAATTAGTGTAGAAGTATAGATCAAACCTTTGTCACCTGTCGTCCGCTTTGCAATAAAGGGAAGTCGAACCTTAATTTCGAACTCCTATGTTCTTCTGATTAATTTCGTTGCGGGTCCAATGACAGTTTAGCTTTCCCCGGGTCAAACTTGACCTTCACTGGTTGGGTTTTTATGGCAGTCAAACTGTAAATCCTGGCTACACAAGAGTAGCAGTGGTGGGAACGAGAGGTGATAATAGTCCGGAAAGCGGCCTAACTGAATATATCAATTTGACCCCTAAATGACGGACTGTGTTTCTGAGATAACCCCATCAAGTAATAGTTCAAATAACCAACCACTATTATGATCGATGCTAAACTTAATTTCTCTGCCTACCCGAGTCCCATAGAGCTGTAAATCGAGCATAGAGCATTACCGAACAAAAGGTCTAATCTGCTCCTATTGTGCCCAGTCTATACATAATTGTGCCCATTGATTGATCAAGTCTATGCATTCAATCAAGTGTACAGTGCTAGAATTATTGTTGCGTGTGTATTGTATTGAAATATGATTTTATTATGGCGTAAATATTGTTTGATTTACGATGAAGTCGTTTTAATGTTGTCTAGTTGATTTTATTTTGATATTTTTTGTAATCAAATCATATTTGTAGGTCAGGATATGTGTTAATTTAAAAAAAAAAGACTACAACTTAGGCAGAACCCACGGGTAATAATTTTTCATAAAAATACTTTGAGATGACGCCTTTTTGATTACCAAAGAAAAAGGTCCCTGGAGAAAAAATGTATGCCTCAGCTTAGATGCCTACGAATACATAAAGTCAAAGCGGCATCGTTTATTATGAATCAAATACTCAATGCGAAAGTTCAGTAAGAACTTACATACTACATACTTTCCTTTATTTTTCGCTGATCTTTACCTTTAGTTAATACCTAATAACGAGTCGGCCATCTTGGTAGAGCTTACCCTAACTCAATGCAGTTTTGACTATAATTCTATGCTAGTGGCCTAACTCAAACTGTTCTAGCAATTGAAAGTAATTTGAAGGTACGATGCCAGTTCCTTTGTGATTTACCCTTAATAACTTTCGTCTTCAATTAACTTTTCATCATGCAGGCATGGAAACAACATAGTAGATAGTATATTATCCAATCTGCACCTAGATTATCTAATCTAGGAATATAAGCTTCAATAACCATGTTAATTGTGACAATATGTAACGTGATCTCATGCATAGTACCAGTCTATAATAGGATGACCAGTTGGCTGGATAGATTGATCTGCGATGTGAATTTGGTATTCGCGCCACCTAATAAGTAACGCCTGTATTTACAAACATTACATACTATGAGGTCTCACAGTGCACGTGGAAGCACAGGGTGACACACGAACCAATCACAGAGCCCTATTCAACATTGTGCGTTCCATTTGTTGCTTCATTTAAGTAAGCATCATTGTGAATACGGGCGGTGATCCACATATTTTTGTCTGATCTGTCAAAAACGCGATTTTACCAAAGATTTTGTGAGGCAATAGGAACTTAATTCACTGACAAAATTTATTGACTTCAAAGCTACTAAAATGTAATATTACAACCAACTAAATAGAAACTAATTCCTAATCTATCTTTCTTTAGCAAAAACTTGTTAAAGAAAAAGATGTTATTGGTATCAATACAACCTAGCTCTTTGACTTTAAGACAATTTATTGACTTCAAAGCTACTAAAATGTAATATTATTACCACCAACTAAATAGAAACTGTTTCCAAATCTATTTTTCTTTAGTAAAAGCTTGTTAAATAAAAAGTTAAAAGAGGTTATGGGTATCAATACTACCTAATTCTTAGCTAAATATAGCTTGAAAACTTTGGGGACCTTTTACCTACTTTGGGGACGAGACAACGCGAATAATATTACCTACATGAATATTGTTTTTAGGAAAAATCCAGGCTTATGTACAAACAATATTATTTAATTTTGTGTTCGCGCATCAAACCCGAAACTTAAATAAAAAGTTTTCAATCACAAACTAAAGCTGTAGAAGTTAATGCCTCGTGGCAAACTCTGACAAGTCTTTAATTAAGATTTCCTAAAATAACGTTAAATTATTCCAAAAGATTAAATTAATGCCGGATTAATTCGTATTTCACCTTTATCTCCAATTTCTCGGTTCTGAATATCATTTTCTTGAAAATGTCCCCAATGTTCCGTGACTACAAGGGCACTTCGTCTCACCGAGTGTCTCTACATCAACGTCGAGGCGAAAAATAAACATTATTTATTGCAAAACCTTACTTAGTCTGTTTTCTTTCACTGCCTTCGAATACATTTTCTTCTTAATTTGCTGAGAAGCAATATGTTACTGAATTTTAAATGTTTTATACAATCAGAATACGTTAACACAGAACGAGTTATGAACTCTATTACATCAAACGTGTTCATAAAATGTTAAATCCCATCAAAAACAATACTTGTCAAAAAAACCAAGTCTCGCAACTCAGTTGTTCTACGGTAAAAAGTTGTGAGATCCATGTAATACCAAGTCTAGGCCAGGAAATCTTTAACGTTTTACATAAATTATTGACTTGGCCGTCGCACTAAATAATTTAATTTACACGTGTTTTCATGCGATGGCCAAGTCAATATATTTATGTAAAACGTTAAAGATTTCCTGGCCTGGACTTGGTATCACATGGATCTCACAACTTTTTACCGTAGAACAACTGAATTGCGAGACTTGGTTTTTTTGACAAGTATTGTTTTTGATGGGATCTCATTTCTTTTTGTATTTTGTAGACAGCAGTTATGTATCTAGAAAACTGGACCGAAATTGAAACATTTTACTCGACTTGGCGGTTGCACTACCGTGCCCCCAAATATTTTAGTTTTACCTTGATTCATACACCAAACACTACTTATATTCCAAAAGACAATGCCGGAAATTGGCGTCTTTTTTTTTTCGCGCGGCCATCGACCAAACCTTGTTTTTTGATTACAAAATAGTGTAATAAACCAAACTTACTATGATATGTATACCTCTAAACTCAGTCTGAACTGAGTTACGAGCATCAGAAGTTTGATGATTTTCATACTAGATTTGCTGTTTGCGCGCAAGTTTTGTAAGAAATTGCAACAAAATAATGACATTGTATGTGTAAACAAACAATACCATCCATTAAAGGCTCCAGACATCAGTATGCAGCAGAATCAGCGCAATAAAAAAATAGCGCAATATTTTGTTGCAATTTCTTACAAAACTTGCGCGCAAAAAGCAAATCTAGTATGAAAAACATTAAACTTCTAATGCTCGTAACTCAGTTCAGACTGAGTTTAGAGGTATACATGCCATAGTAAGTTTGGTTTATTACACTATTTTGTAATCAAAAAACAAAGTTTGGTCGATGGCCGCGCGAAAAAACAAAGACGCCACCTTCCATACAAAATCTGGCATTGCCATTTGAAGCTTCTAGGTCTGCTAGAAGTGCCTTAGAATTTTGTTGATCGGTGAGTCAGTCAGTCAGTCAGTCAGTGAGTGACAAAATTAAGAAACTTTGACCCGTTATAATTCTTAAACTACTGGTTCAAATTGAATGAAATTTGAAATATACCGTGTCTTTACAATGCCTGCATAGCTAATGAAAATTCAGCCTTCTAGTTTTATCCACAACGAAGTTACAGGCGGTCGAAAATGGCCTGAATTGCTTCGAGAAAAGGATGGTACGGCCGTGCCGCTTTTTTGCTCGACTTGGTGGGATGAGTGAGATGAGTTGATCTCTAAGGCTGGGTTGCACCACCTTACTTTGACGGTAACTATTACGATAACCGATGCTTTTTGTATGGAGAGATTTTTTATGTTTGACAAAGTTAAAGTAAGATGGTGCAACCCAGCCTAAAAGTTGACATTTACTTCTTTAAAAACCTAATTTATAAAATAGGTGGACAGTTTTTAAAATTAGTAATCACTTCTTACAAATGTTTTTAATAAAAGAATACAGCAATATGCGAGAGTCTAACTTACGATACTAATCACTGTTTGTTTTGAAACTTTTCAAATAAATACACTTAAACCAATCTTAAGTTCCTATTGACACAAAGCTCACAACTTGATACAAACTGAAGCATATCAGATTGACGCCCGTATTCACAAACATTTCTATGAGGTCTCACAGTGCGCGTGGACGCACAGGGTGACACACAAACCAATCACAGAGCTCTATTCAACACTGTGCGTTCGATTTGCTACTTCACTTAAGCAAGCATCGTTTGTGAATACGGGCGTGTGTCATAAAGACATAAATATTAATCAAAATCTAATTTCTTGAATGAGCCAGTCAAACATTCGTCATAAATGTACGTGCCGGACCTTTTCGATTCATTAGAAACCATCTTGCTACTATCTATCAAGAATTTCTTCGCCTTCTCCGATCTGCACTCTTTTTCGTATTTTTCTGGAACAAAAATACACAAACTTAAAATAAAATAGTTGTATTTTATGAGAATTTAAAGCGTAACGACAAAAAGCTTTATTTTAACTCGATATCTTGCCATATAAATGCATATATTGATCAATGAATTCAACATTATAATTTTGGTCAATCAATAAATCAACTTATGGTAATCTCAAGAAACTTAATGAGCTTGACAAAAAAACAACCAAATTGCATGATTACTGCACTAAAACGAATAAAACTTAGCATACAATTAAGTTTTTTAAAATCTCGCGAAACCACAATTTGCATACTTTGAGGTCACATCGTGGCCTTTTAAAATAGAAGTAAAATTTGTTTTTAATTCTATAAAAAACATTATTAACTCGTGCATAGCTAATTTGTTTATTATTTATTTATTACTAAAAGGTCATTCACTTGTGTCGAGTATTTATAAGTTTTTTATGTTAATTTTGGCTATTAGATCCGGTGTGTGACTGTTTATTTCCATAGGAACTAATTTCGGAAGACATTTCCATCTCAATAATATTATATACCTAAATCGATTTAAATACGATCGAATCAGAAATGAGGAGATCCGTAAACGAACCAAAGTCGCTAACATAGCCCGACGGATTAGCAAGCTGAAGTGACAATGGGCAGGGCACATCGTACGCAGAACTGAGGGCCGATGGGGCAGCAAGGTTCTGGCGACTAAAAAACGAATGACAATTTATTATGATGAAAATTCATTTTCAAACCTTTTAATTCATCCAAAGACGGTTCTTCCCCTCCATAATCCTTTGGTAGATGCCTCTTTGGAATATACTCATACAACTCATCTAAGCTACCGTGGAATATGGTGCGATCCAGGATCTTTGGCTTGAAGAACTGTTTCATGACGTTTAGTACCGTTTGGCCGTATCTTGGGCAGTTGAGAACGTGGATTGCTGATACACGGAGACCAAGACCTTCCTAGAATACAAGGTACCTAATTAATAATATAATAAATAACTTTATTGTGTCTTTAACAATGGTCATGGTATCTTCACGAAAAAAATACATTTAATAATAGGAGCTGTATTAAGATAGGGATCATTAACGTCTATACCTACTAGTTACATTTAAACTGTGTGAATTAAGTATTGTAAATATTTCACTTTTTCAGAAAGAGTTTACAAAAAAAAGCCTATAAAATTAAATTATAGATCAAAAGAAGAAGAAAATATTAACATACATAGATCCGTAACTATGAGCTCTGCAACAATAAATTAAGTTTCTTACGCCCGACACGCCCGTATTCACAAATGATGCTTGCTTAAGTGAAGCAGCAAATCGTACGCAGATGTAATTGAATAAAGCTCTGTGTTTAGTTCGTGTCATCGTGTGTCACCCTGTGGGTCCACGCGCACTGTGAGACCTCATAGTAATGTTTGTGAATACGGGCGCTAATGGGGATGTTGCCTGGGTCAAAAAGCAAGAGTTTTAATTAGTCCGTCAGTTAACTTATCAAAAAATACTCTACACGTATTTTTCACTTTTTCAAACTAATGAAAATTTAAAGAGATAAAGCGCCCCAAAGTTCATAAGAAGAGGCCCGTGACGTCAACGCTTGCTTAAAAATGCCGCACGTTGTGACGTCGTGCGCAACTTCAACGCACCATAACTATGTAATTATTTGTTAGATTGACAAATAAAAATATACGTGTCCAATANCATAATTATTTTTTTTGTGTTTTAATGCCGGTTTTCTTTACTCAATCCTTATCAAAATCAACTGTCAAACGTCATTATGTTTTTGGTCAAAACATTAACGGTTTTCAAAGTTTTTACATAATTACAGATTGAAATTTGAGAGTTGAAGGTCATTTTCGTTTTCGTTTTCGTTTTCGGCCGAAAATGAGACTGCAGCCGAAGCTTCGTTTTCGTTTCCGTTTTCGGCTGAAAATCCATATTCGGTCGGACACTAGTTATTAACGAGTGCAGTTTGATTACAAAGCTCTTTGATGATTCAACAGAATTTGAGCTACAAATACTGGGGGTACGCCTGGCATAGCTGTTAAAGAGTTTGACTATTATGTATAAATCCAGATAAATTGGCTTTGATTCCCAGATGGGACACATAAACTAGTAATAACTTTGCATAGATGATAGATTTGATGGCTAGTTTAGCTACCCACGTACCTACATCTAAATCACAAATGATTTTTGTTTATGAAAGATAGGACATAGGAAGAACATAGGAATGTTCAGATGGAAAACGTCAGTTTGATCCTTAGGCTGAGTTGCACCTTACTTTAACCGTAACTATAACCATGACCGGTGTTTTTGTATGGAGTTTGAAAGTTAAAGTAAGATGGTGCAACCCAGCCTATTGTTGCTACTCTTGCAGACTTCGTTTTAACGGCACATACCTACATAATATTATATTGCCTGCTTAGTCATCTGTCATCACTTACCATAAAAGTATTTCTAAACAGGATGTCAATGAAGAAATTATTCGGGTCTGGATCTACAATCTTTAATATGGATACCCTTTGACCTTTATACAGCTTTGGCATGGCAGCTTGGCGACTGGAATTCAGATAAAATAACACTTGATGTGGGTTTTAGGATATTACCAATGACCTATTTTATTTTGGAATGGGTAAAGTAAGAATTTAATCTTTTACAACTTGGACATCTACTTCCAAACTAAGCAAAAATTAAAGGATAAGAATAAAAAGTATATATTCAATCCAAGTACGAAATAAAATAACAACTAAACTAAACAACAGGGTACAAGTACCAAAATAGCATCTGCTCGGTTTAAGCCATGACGGCAGAGAGCGTGTCGAGACCACAGATATTCTGCGGATGCCACTGTTGAGCAAAAGGGCACCCTTTAAAAAACTAAGTTCATGCACTCAAATGCTTGTATCTTGCGGAGATCTAAAGCTCAACTTTTGGCATGAAATGAAGAAAATGACGAAAATGTTACTTGATTCTTTGATAACACAAATAAAGTTGCTTTTACTAAAACAAAAATGTAACTCATACAAAAAACTTACTAAAAAGACCACAGTTCTCCATGTTGATCCGACAGATCTTTTTCTCTGTTTTGAATCAGTTCTGGAGCCAATCCTCTGTATTTGTATAAAGCATCTAGTCTCTGTTTGGTCTTATCTAGAGACCCTTTAGCTGTGATCAATGTTCTTTCAATTACAGCTCGATCTGTGGAAAAAAAACAATGAAATATGTTCCGTATCATTAGTTATGAAGCGATGCTTGAGTTCTGATTTAAGCTTTATCATAAAATGTATGTTTGCTGATTGAAAGCAGCGTGGGAACGTCCACCCATAAGGTGGACCGACGACCTTATAAAGGTAACAGGAAGGCGCTGGATGCAGGCAGGAAACTACCAGCCAATTATTGAATCTTGAGGTCTGTGTCTTAAGTTGCTAATAAAGTCCCGTTTAAGCTATACTTGTACTTATCTGTCAGATACATATACAAGTTTTGTAAGGTCTTACTCATTGAAACTTAGGATTTCTAATTGCTTCAAATACGTGTTCCAGTTAACATTGCCTTCAATTAACGTAAACACGTTTTGTCCCAAAGCTATGATAGCAAGCTTAATGCCTGTCGACCCGTGTATGTAAAGGCATACATTTGTCAGACAAGATGCTCTCTGACGCCTGCAGGTAATTGTGCTTTCACTTAAATGTTTAACAAGAAGGTGGTATGTAATCAGGTGCTAAGCTAGTGCGAGAGCCAGAACAATGCTCAGACATTCAAAACAATTCGTTAGTTTTACTATGGATCAAAAAACTGGCCTTTTTAAACTTTTTAACTTTAACAAACGTCAAAAATCTGTCAATCTCCATACAAAAAGCAACCGGTGCTTTTATCGCATCGTGAATGCATCGTTATAGTTACCGATAAAGTTAGGTGGTGCAACTCAGCCTATGTTTCTAACAGTAAAAGTTTGCCCTAAACGTGATTAGGGACGCATTTTATCTTTATCAAGTGACGTAATATAAAGTGTGACGTATTTACTCATGCTTTTTTGTGATGAGTTGTTCTGTGGCAATTAAAAGGTATTTATAGTGATACACATGCCAGTAACGGGTACACTTGTATACCAGTTGCATACAACTTGCAAATGCATCACAAAGTCACATAGGCGACACGTATTAAAATACTGACTTAAAAAAATCCACTTACTAATTCCAGCATCAACCAGATGTGGTTGTTTTCTGAACCACTCCAAAATGGCGTCGATGTCTTCTTGTATGCCTGTCTCTTTCAGACCAAGCTCCTTCCTTATTTCTTGCTTTTCTTCTTCGGTGTATGGAAAAAAGGGATGCTGGCTGTCTGAGCTATGCATCTGTAAGAGGGAATTAAAGTTGAAAATCAAAGCAAGGAATGTTTTGAAAAATAGGTAAAATCGGTGAAAAGTCAATAAGAAAATCAAAGTAGGCAAAAAGTCATTCTTTTCGGTATCCATACGGGGTAGCCGGAGTTAACATAGATGAAGTCGGTCAAAAATTGCGGAAAATGACGGCTCACTTGCGAGATCATTATAGTCATACTATCGACTATCGGTATACGCCATTCGATAGTTTCAATAAGAGGAACATCGATTTTACTTGAAGCTATACGATTATTTCAACTCGATTCTCTTGCCTCTCAGCTTACATGCATAACGAAAGCCGATTCAATTTTTTTCTCAATAAAAATGATTATTCAATTTTACGAAAAACGTTACGTTTTAACGTTAAATTCACGTTGCGAATGTGATTCGCATTTTTCCTTAATTGGTAACATAACGTAGGTATCCTTTATAAATTCTGTATTAAGAGCCATCGATAGTTAATTTATTTTTTATCTCGGAATAAATGAACAATTTTATTCGTAAAATTGAAAGAAAGAAAGAAAGTATTTATTTGATGCGAGTATTAAAAGCGTTACAAATAAATAACTTAAACACTAAAGACAGAGTACACGCTCCAAAATGGCATCTGCTCAGTATAAGCCGTGACGGCAGAGAGCACGTCACGACCACTGGTATTCTGCGGATGCCAGTTTAGCAGAAGGGCGCAGCCCGCCCAGAACCACCAATCAACATTATTTACGTGAAACTTGAACATATTTTTATACAGTTCAAACTCTATATCTAAGCTCTATAAAATAGTAGACAGATGACAACCAAGAACAAGCAACTCATGCACGGGTGAAATAAGTTTATACTATATTATGACATGGAGGGATAGGTGGTGTCTATTGCATTTAAGACTGATAGGCAAGTACTACTATTGTTAATTATGTACGTTTTTGCAAGTTTAAAAGATACTTTTTATAGTTTAATTTAAAAGAATTTAATGAATGAAAGAATTTAATGAATGAAATTAACGGCTATAAGCCTTTACTTTGCATTATATTTAATTACGCCACTTACAAGTATTAACAGTGTACAGAGCATTATGAGCACTTTAATGAAAATTTTAACTCTGATTAAGTAACAATAATATTTTTACTCCACTAGCTTTGCAATAAGTAGGTACGAGTTAACACCTACTTTTTACGTTACTCAGAACAGACCCGTACATAAAATAGTTATTCGCGAGTAAAAAAACATTTATTTATTTATACATATTATACTGTATTAACACAGTACAAATTGATTGTACAAAAGGCGAACTTCATACTGTGTGACATTCTATTTTAGTAAAACTTTTATTTAAGTTGTTGTAAATGTAGTGAATAGCTTTGAAAAAAAAAAAACAAAAAACAAATAATTTTTACTCACCTTAAAATGATTTTCCAAAATCACTATTCACGTCCGTTGCATGCAACACTCACTAAAATAATATTCATTAGGCCGACCAACCCGCTATTATGTACTGCCAAAAACATAATCTGTGACCTCTAAGTAATTAAGAAGCTAAGGCTCGCTGCACGCGACCGGTACCGACATAAAATTATTGACGTATTCCCACTGTCCCCACCATTGGTGGACATAATATTAATAAATTATGTATAACATTAATAAATTAAACACCAAATCAACAAAAATCTTCTCTAGAATCTTAGAGTGGGCCCAGTTACCGGAAGAAAAACATTTTTAAAAATTCAATCCAGCGACTTGGCCCATGGACCAAGCTAAAAATGGGCAAGTCGCTGGAAACTCTCTAAAGAGAGACTGAGAGTGGGGACAAAATGGTGGGAGACAGAGGAAATACACCAACCATTTATTGATGCTACACGTTCGTGAAATGTTATGCTACTGTCATTATCGTCAGGTCAATTAGTCTCCACTGCTAGAGTTAACTCTCAATTTAACAGAAGCAAATGGAGGATTTGGTATACTCTCTAAGCTGCAGCTGTGCTAGATGAGTTGGGGAGGTCTGATTTTCCTTTTTTTATTTTTCCTTCCAAACGTCTGTGCTAAGCCTTATTGCACTTCTAGACATCACATTTTAAGGCACCAGCCACCAAACCTTTTTATTTGACGAAAAACAACTTTATAACATTTAAATATTAAATCGTTTTTGTGAAATGTTTTGAAGATTTCATCTTTGTTTTTACATTTTAATTCAAATTAATTTAATTAACTTTTTTCTTTCATACTAAATTAATTAAGAATAAAACGTAATAAATCAAGAAGGCAATTTCGTCAAGTCAGACGATTTAAACGATGAATAGAAATAAATTAAATATCAAAAAGTCTGTTTTCATTGACACAAATGTATGTTTAAAGCTAAGCGTCCACTTGTCGGTATCGTACGCAACGGACGCATCGCACGCAACGGATCGTATGGGATGTGTGATGCATACGATACCGACAAGTGGACGCTTAGCTTAAGGCTCGCCGTGGTTTCAACCAAAGCGGTTCTCATCTCCTCTCGTCTCATTTCTCCGCTAGTCGTCTCTCCGCTTTGGTGGAAAATATTTTTTTTTTTTTAATGGATGATTAAGGGATGTTATGGATATGTAGTTTCGGTTATGGATACGGTTACGGATATAGGAATAATTAATAATTAATAAGGAATAATGGTTTCGGTTACGGTTACGGATATTTTTTTATTTCAGTTATCCGAAAGTTTCGGTTACGGTTACGGATATCTGTGCTTTAGAATGCAATTTTCAATAGTTGTCCAATACGTGTCATTCATGGCCGCACACTTAACATCGAATAAAAAGTATTAAAAAAACAAAAATGATACTAGAAGGCATTGTAAAGGTAAATCAAGCTGTTAAGTATGCCTTTACTTTATACTTAACATCCTGATTTACCTTTATAATGCTATACAAAAAACAATTTAGGCTGCCTACATCCGAAACTATCCGAAACTTTTGAATCGGTTACGGTTACGGTTTCGGATATTTTTTTATTTCGGATTACTGAAAGTTTCGGTTACGGTTACGGATAACCATAACATCCCTGGTGGAAACAGCCTGCCAGCTTCACCGCACATCTCTTCTCTCCATTTTAGTGCAAAACGGGCCTAAAAGGGTAATAGTTGAAGGTTCTATCTTGCCTATTCCAAATTGCTAATAGTGGTAATTCTATGTCCATTGACGATCTTTGTTTTTTAAACAACAATACTGACATTTGCGTCATCAAACGATTAATTAATGACAGAAAAAACTCGTAATTAACGGAGGCACGAACTTTGAAAATACTGTCCACGCATATGGGAACAAAGATATTTTTTGTGTTTATCTAGTGATGAATAGAAGTTTTTAATACAAAAGTACGAGTAAGTAATTAAAAACTACACAAAAACTTAACAATTCGACCTAGCTGTGTCTTTCACTCGGGCCAGTAGTAGGTAATGATAAAATAAATAAAAAAATATACCGATTCCGAGTCTTTAGACTACCTACCAACATTTTAAAGTACCTAAGTTAATTAGGTAAGTATTAAAGTAAGTGTTGGTTAAAAAAGTGGGAGATTATTTATTTATAAGCCTGTATTTCTGACTACTGTCTTTGACTCGTTTTATACTATACTAGCTTTTGCCCGCTTCTTCACCCGCGTTAAATTTATTTTGGCACAAATCGTCATAAATTATAGCCTATATCTTATTCTGAGTTATAAACAATAATACTGTAAAATTTCATCAAAATCCGTTCAGTAGTTTTTGCGTGAAAGAGTAACAAACATCCAGACATCCAAACTTTCGCATTTATAATATTAGTAGGATTAGTAGGAAGGATAGGATGTTAGTGGGTTAACTGTTCGATAGGATACCTACAGAAATACAGGTTTGTATTTCTAATTGTAAATTAGTTTATTTACAACTTGTTCTACTATTTTTTCCGCAGTCGTTTTGAATTATAGGTCAAATGACTATAAATAACTTACTTATTGAATTGATTATCGCGAAGCTTCGAGATTTGCAAAGATTTTAAAAAGAGCAAGGAAAAAAATAGGAAGTAATAATAAATGCAAATGTTGTTTCTTATTCTTATGACAAATTGTTATCAAAGATTGTATGTTGCATAATTACATACTCAGGGTCAAAATTACTATTTAGCACTGGTTTTTACTTAGACAGGGTGAAATTTAACTCTTTAAGAGCAAACTTATACAAATAAATATTAAAAATAAAGACAAAATTAATACTCATTGGATTTGTCTCATATTAAGGGAATGTAGGTATTATGGCATCATGAGTAGAGTATTTTTTTTTTAAAAGACGCATTTCATCCTGTATAATTTGCAAAGCTACCACGTCCTTCTAAATGATCTTAAATATACCTTATACCTACCTAATAAGACCAGATTTTGAAATGTAAGATAGGTACTTACTCACAGAAAAACAACGCCAACAGTCAGGAGTATTAATTTTATTAAAAGCTGAAACCTAAACTACTGCTGAAACTGTCTTGGAAGAAATAAAGAATTGCCTCCAAATTACAAATCACCCTAAATTACAAAGAGATTCTAAAAAAATGTAGGTACTAAGGATATTCAAAATTGTTGTGGTGACATAATATCTTTTTCTAATGTAATCACTGGAGAGTGACTTCACTAACCAAATGTAAGCAGGCGTCGTTTGTTAGATATAATCCTACTATCCTATCCTACTATCCTACCTACTATATAATAATTATACGAGTATACCTTGATTTTTTAGAATCCAGCAGAGATGTAAACAAACACTTTCATACACAATTACACCATAATCACTTACGTGTTCATAATATCATACACATTATTTAACAAGCCCATGAAACCAACTTTATTTTCACGTTTATACAAGTTTGAAATCAATCTTTAAAACAAATTATTTTAGCAAAATACGTGGACGATGAAAATTTGTGAGATTGTCAAATTGACTTGACGTTTAAAATCATGTGTTATCTCCATATTGTCTCTGACACATCAGTGCTGTAACCTGTGAGTCATAGACAATAATCTGTAAATTTAATCGATATTTCTTTAAGTATTCACTTATTCCGATTACTGATTAATTTTACATAAAAAGTATACGATACTTTGTTAAGTTTTCCAGCGATAACTTCGACAATATTGGAGGTAACGTAAAATTATTTTTCTACTTTTAGTGTATACTTTTTCGGAGTCAGTTTAATTTTTAGTCGGTTTTATTTAAACGAAATAATTTTCCTTTTTTATGCAATTATTATGCTTACGTATTTTTCCATTGCTTATTAATAAAAGAAAAAAAATCTTCTTTTAATTGATAGCATCTTATTAATTACCTTCCTAACGGAATAGAGCAACAAGGGACTGAGCGAGCGAGATGTCACTAGTAGCAACACTGTCAAACAGAACTTTTTGCAACTATTTGAAGTTTAATAACTTTACAGATATCATTGATTGTTTGACTGTCCACAGTGTGTTTTTTGATTACATCTGTGCATACAGTTTGTTTCCTGTTCTCGAAAATTTCATAATCAGTTCACATTCAATGTTGCGACTTTGTTGCATATTTTTATTATTTTGACGATCACCCGGCGATGATACGCAAGTACTACAATAATTTCACTTCGCGATTAACGAGAGGTTTTGTCGCATCACTAGTTCACAGACTAAAAATATTTTTATGTCAGTTGGCCATGTTTGATGACATTTCTGCTGATTTCTAAAAAATTAGACTGTAAATCCGAAAGTTTGGATGTTTGTTACTCTTTCACGCAAAAACTACTGAACGGATTTTGTTGAAACTTTACAGTATTATTGTTTGTAACCCAGATTAACATATAGACTATAATTTATGCTGATCTGTGCCACTAAATTATACGTGGGTGAAGCCGCGGGCAAAAGAGTATTAACTACTTATTATTCAAATCAATTGAATTCTTAGGCTACAAGAAAAACATGGCCATCACCTACACTTTACATTTATTAATTTAATTACCTTTTGATTGAATTTCCTTTTGCGGATTTAATTACCTTTTGATTGAATTGCCTTTTGAGGATTTTCATTCCCTATGTGTTATTAAATGAGTTGTAGAATAATAACTAGTTGTTTTATTACACCGATGTCAAGTCCTACGTCTAATACGTCTGCTTCGCCAAGAATAAAAACATGGTTACTTACTTATTTATAATTTATTGAAAACAAAATAATGTTTTTTCCATTCCAATTTATTTTATATTAGTAAACTCTACAACTTCTTTGCCACAAAATAGGACACACTACTTACGACTTAAATAATACTAGAAAATAATAACTACTATGTGATCAAACGAAAATACTTGTAAATAAATAAAAATATTTGAGGACGCATTCATTTCATGATCCAAAAAATTTTCCTCCAATCACAGCCTTGAAATTAATTTTAAGTTCTTGAGCCTTTTTAGTCTCTGAAACACAGCCGGCGTTGTTAGTTGTAAAATAAATAATACTATGCAACAAATGTTAATTATAAAAAAAATCTATATTAAGCCAAGCGCAGCGTGTGAACTGTGAGGTTCAGCCACAAGGTGGACAGATGCCCTCATAAAGGTTGCAGAATGACGTTAGATGCAGGCCGCTGCCAACCGGCCAAACTGGAAATCATTAGAGGAGACTTATATTCAGCAGTAGACGTCATGGCTGAAATGATGATGATGAAGATAACACGGAACGTGCAGTCTACACACTCCCCGACTTTTGACATACTGTCAATTGTCATAGAAAGTACAAGTCGTCGACATAAGTAACGCTACTAACACGCCGGCTATGAGCCAGAAACTTTATGGTCATAGCAGACATATCAACTCTGAAAGGGATCAAGCCTTTAGCGAGCTGTCATCGCCTTTCGCGAGGCGAGTGTGCTTTGAAGTAGGTATAGAGTTTAATAAAAAGAATACTGACCGCCTCGCGTTGATACCATTGATACGGTTACGATCCCTTTCCGGTTTGATATATCCGGCCTTTTAGCTTACACTAATCTACCCTTAAAGTTCTAAAAGATCCAGGCATCCCCATGACTTGCTCATTGTACTTGTCAGCCTGTCTGTACGCCTCGTTGGTGCCAGCAGCATTCATCATCTTCATGTAGTCCATGAACTCTTCAGTGGTTAGTGTGTCCAGTTTTAATTCTGAAAAAATATAGTTTGAAGGTTCTGCCAAAGAGTAAGTAAGTTTCAAGAATAAATCAACGCCTCATTCTATGAAAATTCTCTATTATCAGATTTGTGTAAATACTCAAAGAAAAAGTCCTACAGTTAAAATACCTACAGTTCTGTCTGTTTCACACACGGACAAACTGTCTGAAATCCAAGCATTAGAAATGCAAGCGAATCAGTATGTTCTTATAACTCACGAAGGCGAGTGAGCTTTACTTGTGTGTGTACGTATACATAACGGTAGTTTATGTCTATCAAAACTTTTGAAAAATGGTTTCGCTCGTTTCTCCGTTCGTTTCAACCGAAAGACTTCCACTGCTGGACAAAGACCTCCCCCAAGGTTTTCCACAAATATCGGTCCTGCGCCGCCCGCATCCAGGCAAAAGTTTTGTTGTACATTGTACAACTCATGTAAGTGTAAGTTAGAAGGACAAATAGAAAAAAACTTACGGTGAATTTCTGTCAACGTCATCTCATCTCCTCCATAGTCTTTCGGCAACACGGCTTTCTCCACATGTTCATGTAACGATTCTAACGAGTTATGAACATAGATACGACTGGCCACTTTACCACTGAGGATCTGTTTGAACATGGCGACCAGTGCTTCTACCAGTTTTGACGTGGATATGAAGTGGATGCCTTTAATCCTGAAGCCGTAGCATTCCTGTTTAATTATTCAATAGTAAATCAGATTATTCTTAAGTATTTCGACATTTCAAAACCTTGCTGCTCCATCGGCCGTCAGTTCTGCATACTCTGTGCCCCGCCCATTGCCACTTCAGCTTGCTAATCCGTAAAACGTAACGGAAACGCAGCGTGAGACGTCCGCCCACAAGGTGGACCGACGACCTGGTAAAAGTAGCAGGAAGCCGCTGGATGCAGGCAGGCCGCTACCAACCGTGCCATGTGGAAGTTATATAACCGTGCCGTGTTCAGCAGTGGACGTCCTATGGCTGAAATGATGATGATGATGAACAGGTTTCCCCTCACTACTTAAAAGTAGACATATTGATGTTGGAAAAAAAGAGTAGAATAAAAATAAGAAAAAACTTTCTTTTTCATTTTAATTAACTTATATAAAAGTTGATAAAGTTTATATCTACTTAGGATGTTTCTTAATTTCCTCAGATTTGAACTTTATGGAATGATAATGGAAATAGAAGGTAGGTAGGCTAAGGTAAAAAATGTTATTATTTTTGTTTGAGAAAATCGAATCAGTAAATAGCCTATTATTATGTATAGGGCATATAGTACGCCGAACTGACGGCCGATGAAGCAGAAAGATTCTGGAGTGTAGGCCACGTACCGGAAAGCGCAGCGTAGAGCGTCCGCCCACAAGGTGGACCGACGACCTCACAAAGGTAGCGGGAAGGCGCTGGATGCAGGCCGCCACCAACCGGCCATTGTGGAAATCATTGGGTAAGGCCTAACTTCAGCAGTGGACGTCCTATGGCTGAAGTTATGATGATGATGATGGAATATTACTTACCATAGCCATTGTAAGGAACTGCTGCAGATCAACAAAACTGAGTTTCCTCAAGTGTGCTCCCAAATTCATTTGTCTGAAGTCAAATATGGCCACTACTCCGGCAACGTAATCATTTATGTATTCATATTCTAATAGCTGTGGACAACAATAAATTTGTATTAGTATCCATATCCAAATAATGGATAAAGCACACTTATCAAACCGGAAATGGATCGTAACCGTATCAAGTCGAGGCGGTCAGTATTCTTTGAATGAAACTCCGTATTCGTAACGTAAACGTCTCGATTTGGTTGACCGCGCAGCGAAAGGCGATACGGTGTTGATCCATTTCCGAGTTGATAAGTGTGCTATATAACCTTAACTGTGAGAGAGTCAAAATGAAACTATCGTTTAGAGACGATTAAACTACTTAATCTAAACTCTAAAAGAGCTCCAGAAGGTTACTTACTTTGTTTTTATTTGAGAAAAAAAACACTTTAGTTCTACCCAATTTCAATTTCTGAATGAAGGATTAACTAACAATGAAACTATGTATAAAGAAATTAAAAACTTACATAAACCAGTCTCCTAAAATAATTCGTGTAAAATTCGTACTCGAATTCTTGACCAACGTTTCTCAGTAGATACACCCTGTAATAGTCACTGGTGAGCCTCGGAAGGATGACATCCTCGCTGAAATTAAAATAATTTTACCATTAATATATTCATCGTCATCAACGGGCGATTTAGGTCTCCATTGCCCTCTCTATTTTTTTTTTTTATGCATAACAAGGCAGGTATTTGACCACAATCGCACCTGATGTTAAGTGGAATGCGGTCTAGGATGGTACATATCTGCCCTGTAAATGCCTATTCACTCTCGCCTTGAAAAGGCCCGGATTATAGTTTTCGGGAAAGACAGCAGCAGGCAACGAATTCCAGTCCCTAGCTGTTCGCATTATAAAAGAGTCATCGAAACGCTTAGTGCGAGCTTAGAGCCAAAGCAAACACCTAGGTAAACCAGAGGCACAAGAAGTTAACCATGGAACACCTAGGTGCACCACTTTGGAGTTCCACGGGTCAGAAGGGCGATTTTCGCCGTATAGATCGGTTCATCCATGAAGACGCGCCCCACCAATTTTTGGTCGAGGGAAGCGCGGGGTGCGGGGAGTTTGATCCGAGCAATCTGAGCGTCATTATTGTAGTGTGCATGTGCCAGCGTTGCCAGACGTCCCGATTTTGGCGGGACGTCCCGATTTTTAAATCAAATTTAAATGTCCCGCGCGGGACAGGCTCGGTCCCGCTTTTCGGAGAGAACTCGACCGTACGTGGCGCACGTACAAAATCTGATTTAAAATATTATTTTTATTGTTAAAATACATTTTCTAGAGCTACTTTTGCTATCTATTGTCACGTAAACGTGATTTTAAGTCAAATAAAAAGATAAATATTTGAAAACCTTTGATTATTATACGTTTTTTTACTATGTCCCGCTTCTGACGGAAGAATCCCGCTATTTTCACTCAAAAAGTACCAAAGTCCCGACTTGGCGAAAAAAAAACTGGCAACGCTGGCATGTGCACTCATGGATGATTTAGCGTGTACCTATAACACTCAAACATTAGCGGCAGAATGGTGGGGCGCGTCTTCGTGGATGAAACGATCTATACATACAACACTGCACCGCTGCACTGCTCGTGTGCCCGTCATAGATATTATATGTAAGATGACGCAGCAACACCGCTTCCACGTCGCACCGCAACACAGCGTGTGATTTGGCTCAACTTTAACTTCAAATTAATATAATAAAATAGTTCTCCTCTGGCTCGATGGACGGATGACTTCAAACTATAAGTGGCAGTGGTTCAACGAAAAAAGGAGAAGATAGGTACCTACCTAACTATACTCTGCGAAACTACAACGCAACTAGGTACGTACTTTACGTAGGGTAATTACGCCGGTTTTCCGTCCAGCTCCTGTTTTCGTCCATTTGACCGACTTGCCACAAACAAATACGGAAAATTAGAATACAAACCTAACTTTCTGTGCAAGTTTGGACTTGTTACAATCTATAATATCTAAGTAACAGTTCTGCCTGCATGAAAATTTAATTTGACAAGTAATAACTCCAAAAAATCTACAGAAGTTGCTGCTGCACACAGGTGAATGGAAAACGTCGTCAAGTTCGAAAAAAAAACGTGCCGGTAGGGAACTTTCATGGTATGTTTAATTACTGTTTTAGCTACTTTACGTAATGTTTTTGGCACGTATGTCTAATTATTAGCATAATAAACACTATTTTAAGGGTTTATTAAAGTTTTTGTATAGAAATCTTAGATAATTAAGTGGACTAATACTAGCGGGGATTAGTGAACAAAAAGTTCACAAAACTTCAAATATTTCTATCGTTGACTTTCGTCCAATTCTGTAATCAATAGATTATCTTCAGCTTCAGAGGCAAAAAATGGTATTGGCCTTAGTCATTCGTGTTTTAGACATGTCCCTAGTGAATGCATGGATTATTTATTATTTACAATGAGGTAAATAAAGATGAGACATGAGAGATCTAGAAAGATTTCAAGCGTAGGGTTTTTTCTTGGATAAAAAAATGCAAGGGAGGCAAGGCAAGAAAACCTGCACCAGGTACATATGAACGCCATTTACAACCTGTGAGGTTTGACAATATGATCAATATTAACGACTATATGACGAAGAGGGACAAATAGAGGCATTGCCAGGGAGAAGATTGTAAAAAAAACTCTTATTTTTTGCGCTAAATGTGAAAAAAACACTCTGCAGTGATTGTTTTATACCTTACCATACAAAATAAGTTCCTAAAACTTTATGTTTAAAGCTGTTTACGGACAAATTTTCAAATACAGCTAATTTTCTTACAATTGTTATCTTTTATTATTTCTGATCACATGTCCCCACTGTCATATTTATAGGACAGGCTGACTCAGCATTAAAGGTACTATTTTTTTTATTTTTTTGTTTTTATTATTTTTTCTTAGCCTATTATGAACTTAGTTTCAAGATTTGATCAAAAAATTTCAAAGATTTCGATGCTTGGGAAGTAATGGGTTAAGTTAATAATTCAACTGCACCCTTTTTTCTACACAGTGGTCGAAAACTAGCGTACACTAGGTCGAAAACTGATTTTTTTGGACGAAAACTAGTGAAATCGCCTCTTTTGCATAAAATATTTTTTATAAAAAAACCCGTGGTATTTACTTATTGTCATATAATATTAACGTAAAGTAGACTATATAAGGACTAAAATGACATATGATACATATGAGTAAGGGTATTTGAAGATATTCATTTCGCATCACAAACTTGGCAACTCCGATAATTGGACGAAAACTAGCGCACTTACCCTACATAATATTATTCAAGAAGTATTGTGATTTCATATGTTTTTGTCACAAAATTAAATCATTGTTTATTTTCTGTCATGTCTAACTCCCTATTTACATAATAGGCGCGTAAAAATTTATTTACAACGCAATAATACGTACCTATCGACATGAGGTCAAGAAATTTCTTTAAATAATAGGTACCTACTGTATATTAGAATACATTCTGGTCTTGGATAAAGTGCAACCCCGGAAAGGGGGTGAAGAAGTTACATCATAAATTATAGTCAACATTTTTTTGATTTTAATTACAAATATTGTAAATTTTTTTGTTACATTTATTAAAATCCTGGCGTGGAATTTTGTCTGTCACAGAAAAACTTTATTGCGCGCGTCCCTGTTTCAAAAACCGGGACAAAAACTATCCTATGTCCTTTCCCGGGACTCAAACTATCTCTATGCCAAATTTCAGCAAAATCGGTTCAGTGGTTTAGACGTGAAAGCAAGACAGAAAGTTACTTTTGCATTTATAATATTAGTTTAGATTTATTACTTTCTATGGACTCCATGTACAATACCTACTCGTAGAAAACTTTAAAAATAATAATAAATGTGCGCCTTATAACCAAAAAATTCGAACTTAATTTGCTTTTAATGGCTTAATCTGAGCTACTAAGCTTGCGTTTGCTCGACACGTTCATGGATTTAATTGATCAAGACAAGACACTAATTATCGTAAAGGATTTATGAGTAATCATTAGCTATTGAATAAACATTGCAAATTGAACATAATTGACAGAAAAAAACAGGAAATAACAAGGAACAAATACATTGAAAAGGATGAGTAATAATAATTTGTAATCATTGTAATAAAGTTTTTGTTATTTCTAGAGCAAACGTTGTCGTTATAAATAGCCGCTTGCGCATGCTAAGTAGGCGCTGTAGCCTTATTCACGTAACAAAACTTCAACGACTACGATACAAAACACTGAGTTGCGATCCTATCGAGTAATCGTTCTATCAAAATAACCCTTGTGAATACGGATTTAACACTGTTTTACATTAAGACGACGTAACAAAATTTCAATGTCAACAAATGGCTGAGTTGCGATCCTATCGAGTAATCATTCTATCGATAATGACCCTTAGCTTGTGATTACGGATTTAGAACTGTTTTTCAATGGGACGACTTCTGAACGTCAACGAGATCTTGACTGTCAAAATACGTGAATTAGGCCACTGGCCTAGGCTACAAGCTTACTGAAACGCCAGATACGGTTATTGGTTCAAATCCCGCTGGGGTCATATTTTAATTTACTCCTTTCGTTCGTTCGTTTCAGCCGAAAAACGTCCACTGCTGGACAAAGGCCTCCCCCAAGGATTTCCACAAAGACCGGTCCGGTCCTGCGCCGCTCGCATCCAGGCATCTCCCGCGACCTTCACCAGATCGTCGGTCCAACGAGTGGATGGCCTGCCTACGCTACGTACTCAAGAACTTTTCTGCTCCAACGGCCATCAGTTCTACGGGCTATGTGCCCTGAATATTACTACTTAAGCTTGGCAATTTTCGGCATTTGTTTAGTTAATCTTGGTTCTCCTACGGATTTCTACTACTGAGGTGGAGCTGCGGACGAATGTCCAACTAGGACAATAAACTCGCGGCTCCGTTTCTTTGGGCTCTGGTGGAAACCGTCGCGTTTTAGTGGGTAGACCCCGCCTTTAGTGGGTAGGCGGGGAGAGTCCCACATAACCCACTGGCCGTCCCCATCAATCAGTGGATGCATCAAAGCATTTCCCGACGTAAAAAAAACGAATTTCTACTACTATGAACATTAAATTTGAATTTTAGCAAAATATGCATTAGGGGAGGCCTATGTTCAGTAGTGAACGTTCTGACTGAGATAATGATGAAAATTTAGAGAAATCTTGAATTATATTTTTAGTTTAATCTAGCACTGAATGTAGTAATTTACTACTTACACGATTTCTAAGTGTGTTAGTTCCTTCACGTTGCAGTTTGCAAAGAATTTTGACATCAATGTTTTGGCAGTGCACAACTTATCCAGAGTCTGTTTTGACCGCTCTACTGAACCTTTTGACCTAATCAGAAGCCTTTCCAGAAATTCTCGACCTGTAATACAAAAAATAACCTAAATCCTATGAAATACACTTGCTTTTCGTCTGTGGTACCAGTGTGGTACTATCCACGTAAATTCCGGTCTGTCAAAAAAAGACTATGGAAATTATCCTAAAATGTTTACCTGTATTTTATCCTGGAACTCGAACTCCTACTATAACATCTGAATTCAGGTTACAGCGTAAACAGAATTGTTAAGACAGACAGATAGAGTTATTCTCATCTTTAAATAGTACCTACAAAGTCACTCCTGCTGCCTGTGCACTTAGGTCTTTTAAACTATGCCACGGATTTTAATGCAGTTATTTTATTCTATTAAAGTTTTTATGTTTTATGCAAAACCTAGTCTATTATAGTATTACCTAAAGCTAGTTAAATGCATAATGCATGTCATGTAACTACAATTACAGGTCAGCAATTTAAAAGTACATAAACTTGTTTACCTTAATTAAATATCTAAGTTACTCTTCAATGTTTAAAGCCAAGTTGAGGAAAACCGCTATAGTTAATTGTCAGGTAATTACAAGCATGCTTAGGCTTCAACATAGTAATAGAGTATAAGGGTGAGTTGCACCACCTAACTTTGACCGTAACTATAACGATAACCGATGTTTTTTGTATAGAGATTGACAGATTTTTGACGTTTGTCAAAGTTAAAATAATATGGTGCCTTAGAGAGTGATTCTGGGAAAATGTAGTCTATTTCATACACTTTCAGATTAAATATTTTTGTTGCAGAATAGTGACAAGTAAACCACATTAGATGTCGAAGTTGAGCTTGACCTCTTGATTTATACAATGCTAGCTTTTCGCCTGCGTGGAATTTTGTCTGTCACAGAAAAACTTTATCGCGCTCGTCCTTTTTTCAAAAACCGGAATAAAAACTATTCTATGTCCTTTCTCGGAACTCAAACCATCTCCATGCTAAATTTCATCAAAATCGGTTCAGTGGTTTAGGCGTGAAAGCAAGACAGAGAGACAGACAGAGTTACTTTCGCATTTATAATATTAGCAATAATAATAATTTCTTTATAAATTATCACATAATACAAAACTTTAACAGAACTCTGATTTCTGAACTAGGTATAAAATACCTGTATCTCGGAAAATCAACCCCTTTTCCACAGATCATGATGAAGCTACTAATTGAAAATAATGTGCTCTGCTGAGAAACTGTCAAAGAAGCCCATAGGAGGACTTTGGGGTATAAGGTTGGTGTAAGGTTTTGGGGTATGATTCAGGTTACCCCAAAAATGGAGAGTTTTTTTTGTTAATACAAAAAAACACTCGACTAAAAATAGCAACAATTCAATAAACTCTTTTTTTAGTATAATAAAAATATAATAACAGAAAAATTCTGAATGGCATTAAGTTCATCTTATGTAATTTGTATACGTAATATTTAGTATTATAATAGTTTTAAATAAATAAGTACCATTTTCACCGTTTTCACCATCAATTAATCCCTAATTTTTAAATGATATTATGAAATCAAAATTCCTGTTATTTGTTACCATAGGGGTCACTTAAAAAATAGGGGTTGATGGTGAAAACGGGCATAAGTGTGCTGTAAGTTTAGTGAACTCACTGAAATCCTTCTTCATGAAGTGATCCTGCTTCTTCGTCCACTCCTGGAGGATATCTATTGCATCATTTATAGCTCCCGGTTGATCCAGGCCATATAGTTTTCTGATGGCCTCCAGCGTATCTGGGTGGAACTTGATAATTTTGGTGTCTTTCAGGGATTCCATTGTAATATTATTATTGTTACTTATGACAATTATTAATAATTAGTTATCCGTACGCTCACTTATAGATCTCAAGTTGAAATGAGAGTCGCCGCGCGCTATTAATACAAATTGCCTTGAGCATATGTAGAAACTCGGACCTAGTGCGTAGATACCTCTTATTGCTGTAGGGTTGCCGCTTTGAATTTATTCAATCGTTTTAATTAGAAGGGAAGTAACTATATTTTTTTGTTTTGCAGAACAAAACAGGTATTTGACCGCAACCACACTTGATGAAGTGATATGCAGTTCAAGATGGTAGGTATAACTCACAGTAAATTCCTGTTCACTCTCGCCTTGAAGAGGTTCGGATTATAGTTTCAGGAAAGACAATAGCATTCAGCGAATTCTAGTCCCTAGCTGATCTCATAAAGAGTTACCCAAACGCTGCCCGCGATGTTAGAGTTCATAAACCTAATGTCTATTACAATTAAAACATTTTCTTTTTACTTTCATTATTTATGCACACACATAATCATTACAATATAATTATCTGCAGTTAGATCTATAGTACCTGACGTCAATGCAAATTACATATCTATTTGTAATATTTTGAAAAAACCTTTCAAAATGTCCTCGTGTTTGCAAATCAATTGATTATTCAGAAATTGGAGTCAAAGGGGCATAAATGGATAGTAATTTGCAGTTAAATCTTAATTCAAAATGTAATTATGGTAAAATCTCAATCGAACCCAATTAGCAATACAAAAACATCAACAGCAAAAATAGCCGCCATAGATGCAACAATTTCAAGCTTTTTTTTATGCAGGACAAGGAAGGTATTTGACCGAAATCGTACCTGGTGTTAATTTGAGATGCAGTCTTGGATGGTACATTATCTGCTCTGTAAGTCAGTCTGAAATCTAGACTCAGGCATAGGGAAAGTGGATCTCGTATCAATTGCCGTGGATCTACCGTGTTTTCCCCCGAGCATCTGAGCTTACTTGAGCAAACGAGCTCGCACCTAATTCGATGGAACGTCCCTGAGCCAGCCGGGGCGTAGCTACTAAGGGGCTAAGCGGGGCGATGCCCCGGGGCCCCAAAGCTCAAGGGGCCCCCGAATCCTTACCAAAAAATCTCAATTGAACTGAACTTTGAAAACTCCCATTTTCAAAATAAATAGAGAGAAATTCAAAAGTTATAACTAGGGAATTTCGCTAAATTCTTTCTGTTGTAGCAGTGGGGCCCCATTTTTTTATTTGTCCCAGGGCCCTTGGTTACCTAGCCTCGCCACTGCTCTGAGCTTCTGGCTTATCTGAGCAAACGAGCTGGTATCCAATGCGATGGGATGCATGCACTTGAAGACATGAAGCGTCTTAACAAGACACAGAATAAATAAGGCGATGGTCCCAATGGTGTTGGTATCGGACTACCGATTCAAATGTCACAGATTGTTCTTCGTCGACTGCTGGACTTCATAGAAGCCTATTAGTTCTAATTAATTTCGTTGCGGGTTCAATTACAGTTTAACTTTCCCCGGGACAAACTTGACCTTCACTGGTTGGGTTTTTATTGGCGGTCAAGTTGTAGATCCTGGCTACACAGGAGTTGCAGCGGTGGGAACAAGAGGTGGAAATAGTCCCGAATTAGTATTATTTAGCACAAGCATTTGTATTATTTAGCTTTCACTGAATTCACGGAAGAGGATAGGGAATTGCACGGAAATCAATCAGTTTAATCAAGTTTAAGCACCAGCTGTAAAAAGAATCTGCCCACAATGGCTCAAGTAATTTTTTAACCTCCAACAGAAAGTTTTTAACGCTTGACCAAAACCCCTTTATTTCTTACTAAAAGTAGGTGCAAATTATAACGAATTTTGTACCCCTAATTTGAGAACAGACTTTCCTTAAAATTTTCCATTGGTAGGAAAATAATAAATGTTTATCTACATTCTACAATATGGAAACAGAACAATGCCTACATTCAAAATTTAATGATAATTTTCTAAATAATAACTTATAGATATTTACATACTGGCAAATTCAAATTATCTAATTTTAAATAATTGAAATGTATGTAATTAATTTACATATTGGCAAGTGTCATAATAATAGATGCATGCACAATGACCTCTTCTTCAATCATTGAACTGCTGCTACGTCATCGTCATCATTAGGTATACGTAAATCGCGTAATTCATCATCAACAAGTCTTGGTTCCACTTTTTCACTCGCGTGAAATACGGGACTATTCCCACCTCTCGTTCCCACCACTGCAACTCCTGTGTAGCTAGGATCTACAACTTGAGCGCCACAAAACCCAACCAATGAAGGTCAAGTTCATTCACGTGAAATCTGAAAATATGTCAGTTCAAATTTTCAAGTGCCTCTGAACTGTCAAACTGATGCAAAAAATGGTTCTATTTGATGTGACGGCGACGGCATCACGCATCTCTTTTTATCACACAGTGTTGCTGCTAGTGACATCTCGCTTGCTCGGTTCTTTGTTGCTCTATTCCATTTGGTATAATAACTTTATGATTCAGCCCTGACCCTAGAGGCAGACTTCTGAATTTCTTTCGTAATTTTCAAGATTTGAAAAAAAGTTGTTTATTGTCTCTGAAATAATTAAAATACACATTATAGGTAGGAATACGATGTTATGTTGAATATGATGTTGCGTAGGCACAGCACAATTTACTTTTATCCTCTCCATCAATATTACAATTGCAAAACAGACCGACAAACATTCATTAGTGACAATACAGATTACCATATCGCCGCTGCGGGCTGAGTTAGTAACATATTATACAGATATTACTAAACCTAGCTCCGTAATAAATTGATGTACGGTAACCGAATAGAACTTATTGCGATGCTGTGTACCAAGATTTCCAAACGAGTCTTCCAGTGACTTGGCCCACTTTTAGCTTAGTCCATGGGCCAAGTCGCTGGATTTAATTTTTAAATATTTTTTCTTCCAGCAACTGGGCCAACCCTTAGGGGTTAGGTTCTTAGAGAACTTAGGTTGGAACCTAATCCATAAGGGTTCTCTATTTGTTACATACTTATGTAACGCCCGTATTCACAAACGATGCTTGTTTAAGTGAAGCAGCAAATCAAACGCAGAGCGTTGAATAGAGCTCTGTGATTGGTTCGTATGATGTGCGTTCACGCGCACTGTGAGCTTACCTCATGCTTAGTAATGTTTGTGAATACGGGCGTGAATGTATTCTCGAATTTATTATAGCAAGGTACCGTTAGGATTTTAGCAGGTAGGTGAGTAGCTCTCATAGCTCACTAGCTACGCGACTGGTGAGTTAGAAAGTTTTTCAATTTCCCGTCGAGAAAAAGGTGTGTAAATAAAAATTATTTTTCCATTTATATCCTCTTTTCCAATTCAAATCTAGGGAACCTACTGGCTATTAAGGCGAAAATAGATCGAATCACTCTAAACCCCGTAATAACATCGAGGGTGGCATTGACAATTTTGCCTCATGAATTTTAAAAGCAGACATCTATGGTTCCCAAACTTTTGGATCCGGAGCCTGATTTCAGAAAATAACATCTTAGACTGGGTTGCACCATCTTATTTTAACTTTGACAAACGTCAAAAATCTGTCAAACTCCATACAAAAAGCACCGGTTATTGTCAATGGTACGTTTAAAATAAGGTGTTGCAACTCAGCCTTAGTTTTCAAATTATAGCCTGACCAGGAACATAAAAACCCTGGCATAGAGGCGCTTCAATTGCATTTGATAGTGCAACACTGAGTACAGTCGTACCTGTGTTAAATTAATAGGCTAACTTTATGTATCAGGATTCAGGATTACAGGCTAATTTGATATTTTCATAAATTAACGAAAACATATTATTATAGGTAACCTAGTTTAAATAAATTAAATGAAACCATCAATCGAGGTAGTAGGATTTATTTTATTATTCATCAATAATCAAATTCAGAACTTGAATATTCAACTGCAATGTCTGCTCATGAACGCTTCAAACTCGGTACTTCTTTCTCATATCCATAAAATTCAACACTTAGAAAGTGACAAAAAACTTTAAAATAGGTAGTTGAAACAGACTACAGCTAATTTTCATAGTGGACTGTACTATACGATAAACATGTCAGTCAATTTGACAACCTTTGTCGGAAACATTATTCAATGAAAATATTGTCCGAACCCTTAGTATTTCTCTTCGACAAATACTTTAACACATTGTGAACCACTTTTCTTTCACGACTATAAAAAGATTTTAGCAATTTAATTCACAAAATCAATTGCGCACATTTAAAATAAAGTTTGTTTACACTTTGACAACAATAGACTGACATGCAAGGTGACATGTCAATGAAGTTTTCAGTTACTGTTGCCATTAAAAGAAATTAGTACCATTAGTTTTCCGCAACATGGCGAGGGTTTTTATGTTCCTGGTCAGGCTATACATCTGAAAATGTTCTCTTTTTTAAATTTTGTAATAATGGAACAGAGTAAAAATTAGTTGAAAGGACTTCGAAGAATAATAAAAATGCACGATTTACATTACGGATATTTTTATTACGGCTTTTACACATTATGAAAGTAAATAGGCTTTCGTAGTCTAACTGACACGCTTGATCTTGAATAACTTAATCGAGCAATAAATTAAATATTACTAGGTCAGCGTAAGTTGTAGGATTAGTAAATTATGAAATATTGATTTAAAACTCCGTTTGGTGCAGTTAAGTGGTCGAACAGGCTGTTGTTTTAATCGGATTATAATTTTCAGCCTAAAACAGCAATGAGATAAGTTTCAATTTCTCATCAAAAATGGTTTCGCCGCAAAACTCCGCCTCTTAAAACTGCGTTTCTTGTGCTGCTTCTTCTGGCATACTGGCCCATTTATTGTGCTGAAGCAGTGGTAGGGTTAATACTGGGACATGTAAAAGTGCTTTTAAAAGCTTACTTGTATTATTAATAAATGAGTATCATGAGTGTTTTTAATATTTAAAGCATTTCCTTTGTTGAAAAACTTCATCACAAGACGTAGGTATACTTTGAGAACCAAAGACCAAGCCTACCGTCACCTGTTGGATACAG